ACCTGGTGGTAGTGGTGTGGATGTTTTCCAAACGTAGTTAGGGCTCTTTGAGATCCTTGTTTAAAAAAGCCAACAAATACTGCTCACACTGTTCAGAACTGAAAAACACTGTACTTGTTTCCATATGTCCATATGTTTCCATATGGAGTAACCTCTTACTATCTTGTATGTCTTACAGCAGGCCACCTTGGTTTGACCTTCCTCCACCCCCTTATTGTTCTGAATCTGAATCCCCCAATCAGACAGACCTTCCTCCCTATCGCTCTCGGACGGGGAGCTTGGTGAGCACCGATGCCACCATGATGGGAAGCCCTGTGGGCAGCCAGGGCAGTCGGACAGGAGGTGTCCATGACACTGCAGACTGCCGCAGGATTCTTCTCGACGAGACAGCTGGCCAAAGCGACTCTCTGGTCAACCCTCTTGCTGAACGGGAAGTGTAACTGCTCTACTGTTTGCGATGGGCCGAAAGGGATTTACTGTTTCAGACTAACTAACTGCAAATTAAACCATATAGACTTTAGGTGAGCATGTGCCTGAATGATGACTTGATTTGAATCCAGACTTCATTGATAATTGGATTCAATGTTTTAGGCTTAATGAAGATCAGAGTCATGAGGACTAAATCTAGAGTCACATCAGCTCTCTACAAAATTCCTGCAAGCATGTTCTGATTTAGAACAGCTAAAAAAAAAGTCCTGTGTTGAAGACCAAGTCTAATATATTTCTGGGAATATTTACTGTATATGAATGTATATATGTGCATGTGTATAATATATACAGATTTTGCAGACAAAAACTATGCCAGAAGAAGAACTCCTATTCTCAGACATACTCTTGTCCTGCCTACCGGTGAATCATTTCTTCTTACTGCCTGATGCCAACTGGTGGTCACTGAAGCGCCAGAGAGACAGTCTTTCAGCTTGGAGGTCAGACACCCAATGCTAACCCACTGGCAGTGCTCATATTGCAGAGAATGTCCCACTTGACCCTTCTCTGTCTGGACTGGAACATTATCACTGTGAATGTAATTTTCAAAGATTTTAAGCTTGAGAGGATACAACAAGTCTCTTGCTGGACAAATAAGTTTTATTTTTCCCAAATGCTAGTAACTAGGCCAAATTAGCATGGTTTTTCTCAGGAATACCGCAAAGGTTGGCTCATCTGTCAAACTTCAAGGCTTTACATGGAAGCACTGAAGCTTCTCAAAAAACCAGCGCAAGGCTTCTTTTCAAGCATGACAAAACAACTTTGCTCCTTGTGTTTCTTCTCAAAAATAGAGAAACTATTTCAGCTAAACTTGAACACCAAAACCAGCCTGAGGCAAACACCCATCATGGAAAACTTCATTGTGGATGACAAACTTGTTATTGCTGTAAATAATTGAAAGGAGGTCATGTAGTTAAAGGTGTTGGGCTATGTGCTTGTCATAACTGTCTACAGTGCATATACATAACATACATGCATGGATACACATATTTAATACTGTGTATGTGTATATGCAAATAGCATCATGTTACATAGTTTTATTTTATATTTGTACCTTATAACTCTGAAATTTCAAATTTTCTCATATAGAAATTTCATTCTTTTATACAGTTAGCTATTATTCATGTTCGTTGGTTGAAATCAAATTGCTGCATAAAGAAGATTTTTTTTTTTCCTATCTTAATTCTTGGAGCATTCTCATGTGAAATGTTTCAGTGCACAATTTTGAATTGCCCTTGTGAAATCAACTCAGATGTAAAGGTATTGAGAGTGGCAAGAACTAAGGTAAGCTGTGAATTTAAGAATTTAAGTGCTACTGTGTTGCTGTGCTTGTGCGTAGTGTACAGAGAGGAGTGCAGTGTCTTTCTCTTGTTCAAAAAGAAACTGGTCTTGAAAATTATTTGTATTTGCCTGTTAGACACCTTTCCCACTTCAGTCATATAACGAACAGTGTCATTGTACTGGCCTTGCAGGAAAGAAGTCGATCTTCCCCAACACCTCCTCTTTTCTCTTTCATCATATTCCTAGGGCAGTCCCCTTCCCCCAAGGGTTATGTGCTCAGAATCAAGCCTGAGCTGCATGTGGGCAGCAGAGTGGCCCAAGTTAGGTCTCAGTTGTCACCCTTTGTAGCTCAGTTGGTTTTGTGCTCCTTGCTCCTCTCTGCATCGGGAGGTCACTGCTGTAAGAGGCAGAGACCAGGTGGATTTTGCAAGCGTAGGGTGTTCTAGCAGCTGGTATGGTAGGGAGCACTGCAACACTCTAGCAGTAATGGTCTTTGCTCACCCTGGAAGCAAATTTTCAACAACCTTGCCTTATAGGCTTGGCAGCCTAAGCTAAGTGAAGGTGCTGGTATGTAGTTGTAAACCTGCTCACAAGATTGGATCAGATTCGTCCTTAGTGGGAGCTCAAGCAATGTGCTTATGCCATTTTGCACAAAATGGGATTGGTTAATTAAGTGCTCACTCCATACAACCTCATAGACAGACTCGTCATTGTCACATAGTAGATAGACATTCTTTATTTTGCAAGTAGGTTTAATTCAAGCATATAGCTGAGTTAACAGGGAAGCTGGATGCTGAAGGGTGTCCTGTGGGCATTAAACCCTGCAGGCCTCCTTTCCTTACGATATGCTCAGCCTACCAGAGCTGCATAGTACAGTATCAGAATTACTTTTAACATTTTTGTATTGTGTTTTTAAAACATTCTATAAAACATTTTAAACTGTTCTGAAAGGTTTAACTTTCATTTAAGTTTCATTTCATGCCTTTATACTTTAAGATAAATTATAGAAGATTTCAAAGTAGTTTCATTATACTTTTTTTTTTTAAAAAAAGGAAAAAAAAAAAAGTAGCCTGCAGCTATATTAGTGAAACTAAGCCATTGTGTCCAGTGTAGCTTTCATGGTACATATCCCTCATGCAAGCCTTCCAGGAACCGCCTTTAACTCATGTTTCCTGAGATGCCAGGGTATGACTAAACCAAATACGCATTTGCCTGTAGCATCTGAAAAACACTGCCTTTTTTGTTAGGAAAAAGGAGACCTAGCTACCCCTTCAGCATTCTATGTCAGTCACTGTCACATGTGTACATACATATATATATATATATAAAATTAATCTTTCAAGTTGTATATATTCACGTAACTTTTGCATTAAGATAATCCCTTGGGACTTTACCACAAAAAAAAAAATTCTAAATGGTATGACATTTTCCCTTCCAGCTAAGGATGTATTTATCTTTTGTATAGGAAAATTCTGTTTTTTGTGTGTGTTTGTTTTGTTCTTTTGTTTTTTTGAGAATGGGAGATCTAAAATGAAATTGTGCCTTTCTGATTGAATGTTGATGAGCAAGGGGATGGAAAGGGAGGCTTGTAACAGGATTTTGGAGGGGGGTGGGAGGGTGACACATCATTGACTGGAGATCCAAAAAAAGAAACAATTCTTGTCTTCCTTTTTGTTGTTACTTATGGGGACCATTGAACTTTGCGGAGTACAAAAGTTCAGTATCTGCCTCCAAAAAGAGATGCTAAAACTTGATGGAGGGTGTTCATCTTACTGCAGTTTTCTGGTATGTGAAACAGATTTTCTAGCTAGTTTATTTAGAAAATGCTCTGTTCATAACATGTCACTTTCCAGTAGTGTTAATACAGCGTTATACTGCATTATTCAGCAGAATCTGTGGAAAATGGTGGTAGTGACAACAGGGCTGATGGAATTAAATATTTAATTGAAAAACCTGCAGTTCCTTGATCTTCAGCTTGTAAGGTTGAAGTTAAATGTTCGCGAAATAACTTGCAGTAGGCTTTCTTTTCAGTAGCTGATAAAGTTGGAATAAGTCGTTCTGTTGTTTGCAATTGCTCAACCTTTTAGTTTGAGGTGTCTCCTCCGGGATCTTTCCTTTGTATCTAGTATGTAAGCAAGTGCTTGTTCTTTTAAAAGATTCATTTTTACAGAAGTAAAATTGATGAAAGTTTCCTCTGGAGTCAAATTTGGTTTCTATATCTGTGTTGAATCACGACCAGAGTAATTAATAGCTCTGCTGTTTTTTTTGAATGTCAGTAACCTCGACTGAAGTCACCAAGTGCTGTGTATATTAAAACTAGGGCATTAGTGAATGCAACTGATAATAAACTGAAGTTGCTTGCAAGTCAAATTACAATTTACTTCTCTGGTATTGTGCTAATGGAAAACTGGCTGTAATGTTTTTAAAAGAGAGCCTGTGAATAATTTTCTCTGCTGTTGTCTGCAGTGACACATACGACAACACTGACTGCATGGCAATTTTTAAATAGTTCTGCATTCATTCTTCTTCTAAGTCAAATCAATTTTATTTACACCACTTCACTTTGATACAGCTAATAGGGCCCTTGTGATAGATTCAGGAGTTGGGTGGAGGAATGAGATGATGACTCGTATTTTAATTAATGCAGTAGCTTGTTAATCTTGTGTGCTTTACTTTTTAGACATCTTAGAAAAGACAAATGGTTTTAGTAGATAAGAAAAAACTATTAACGATGAAAAGGATAGGGACAGTGATTCTGAATTTAGTTTTTAATGAATATTTAAAATTGTTTAAATAATGGAAGAATTTGATGCTGTATTTTTAGAATGGTTATCCAATGGCACAAAAAAGTATGCTTTTTTTTTAACTATTGTTTGTCAGAAGCTACTTGGAATATAGTGCCTGAAACTAAATTGCAAGACAAGTGCTTTTCTTGCGGTTTCTGCTGAATCTTAAATATTTTGTATTAACATAAGTCTATATCAAACTTATGGACTAAAATTTACGGACTACGACTGCAGAAAATTTGAATACCATGCAGGGCTCCGCCTGAATGTATCCTGCTATAGGACTGTGGCCTTTGGTTTTCCTTTTTGTTTGTTCCTGATTTCAGGGGTTCTTGTCAACTTGAAATTGAGACGTTATGTAAGAGCTTTAAGGGAGGTTGCGCGTTGAAGACCAACCTTGTCTTAAACTTTTGTAAACTGGAAATCTTCAAAAATGTATTCCATATTCCCGAATAAAGTTGTCATTTTAATACTGTTCACAAAAGAGGATGTTCCCTGTCATATGAAGTCTCTATTTTTGTTATAGCAGCTTCCTACAGTAGGTTTTTACAGCCTCTTTTGCATTCAATATTAAGCTTTGTTGAATTTGTGTGGGGTCTTAAACTGTTTTGTTTTTAAAGGTAATAATGGAGAGACAAATACAGGTAAAAAATACTGATGTATATGCCTATACATCCTTCTGCAAATGCAAACTGCCTGTTTCTGAATTTTTGTTTTTTGTCCTCCCATTTGGCTTGTGCTCTGTGAAAGAAGGCATCTAAAGCAATCCTGTTTTCTTGTCATTTGCATGGTAGCAAAAACTCCAGAGACTTCAGCAGAGACTGGAATGGTGCTGGGTGCTGCAGGTGGATTTACTAGCAGAGCTAAAGGGCCTTTGGTTCCCCCAA